ATCTCTAACATTCTGTGATTCTGTGCTCAAGTCTCAGAACACTGATAAACATGGCACATAGTCAGACAGAATATCTGTGCAAGGGCTGCAGCAGGATAAAGCAAGAGGACTGATTAATCACAGTATTGTGCTCTACTCCCTGCTTTTTATCCCCCACAAATGGAATCCTGGAATTAACGAAATTCACGCATCAGCTATTTATCAGTTTTCATGCCCTGAGGATTGTGTCTCCTGAAGCTGAGAGACAAGGGCTTTTAAATTCTCAAGTATGCCCACAGACTATATTGAGCCAGATTTTACCCAGACATCTGCTACAATGAAAGAATTTGTCCGTCATAACAAGTCTCAGGATGACACAGAGTTCAACCACTAAATGGTAAAACAACAGTCTCCCTGCCAACTTCCCACTGCATGGGACTCACCTCACTCTGATGCTCTCACAGGAATCAAAGTGAACAACAGAACCTGAAATAAAATTCAAGCAGCTTCAAAAAAAGCCAAAATCTTTCCTTCTCAATAGTTAATTCTTACAGATACCTGTATCTACTCAGTCACATGTTCATATAACAGCATATTTTCTTCATTACTCAGTTTTCAATTATCTCCCAGATAATTACCTTCCAGAAAAAATAAAATAAAATGCAAACTCTTCATCTTCCAGTACTAGTAATGGGAATCTAGCATACTCCTCCCATGAGCTAGTCCTTTATGTTCAAGAGCACTCAGCACACATCACTTCAGTCACCTTCTCAAAGGGGAAGGACATGACAGGTACGGTCCACTCTTAAGGAGGATGAACCATGGTGGGCACTTCTTAACAACACACAGCTGCAGAAGAATACCCAGAGCAAGATAAGACGTTTTAGGGAGCCACCCACCCCTGTGGAACTCGTGTCTAATATTTTTCCAGCTTCTGTGCAATGGATGTCTCTAACCCTAGTCAGTTCTTCCAGCAAAGCTTCTCCCCAACTAGGGTTATACCGTGGGAATTCCAAAGCAACAGGCTATGTACAGACATACCAGCATTCCCTCCAACAGAGAGATTAAAAGGAGAAGTATTCCTGAGGATGTGTACCCTCTACTCCATTTTCTGAATCCCAGCCTCCCCCTTGCCTTGGAATGGGCTCTACAAAGCAGTATCAGTTATGTATATGAATCTCAGCTCCCTTCCTTTGGGGAGTGACAGGCAGATCCCGGGACAGGGACAGCTGCTGGGGAGGGGAAGGTCTCCTTAGGATGACTCGCCAGAAGCAAGAGAGCCTGCAGCTTTCTTCTTGGGGCGGGCTTTCACGCTTCTTCCTGGAAGCTGAGGAGAAAGAAGAGAGAGGCATCTTAGCTTGGTTTACTTTAACACCTAAATGTGTAACAGAAAGATACAAGAATACAGAGTTAAAACAGGACAAAACAACTACGATGTGATGACCCCATCCATGTCATCCCTTGTTTCAAAAAGGCTATTTCACCATTCCATTTGGTGAAAATGGAGCATATTCATCAAACAGAAACAGGAGAGGAAGACATTCTAAACCAGGGCTAGTGTGACAATATAATCAAAGTCAGCTGTCTCGACAAAAGGTTAGACACAGCGATATTTCTAACTGGTAACATTCACATAACACTTCACTGCTGTAACTTTTCTGCTTCTTGACCGCCATCCCAAATGCTGTTCTCCAAAAGAGGCAGAAACATCTCAAACTAGTTTGCACATTTTACTCCAGTGTCCTTCATTCTAGATGTTGGCAAGACAAGTGCATTTACAATCTACGATGCATTCAGCCCTTCCAGGCAATCTCAGAGATCTCAGTCAAAGACCTCCCACAATTCCTAAGTCTGAACCAGAGATCCAGACAGACTGAGCATAAATATCAATATGATTGCGAACAGCTTTATCGAAATTTCTGTATTCACAATAAACAGCATAGAAGAGTCATTACTGTCTTTTCACAATCTCATTTTAAAACTTCCTCACTAGGAAGCTTGTAATTAAATTTTGTTCTTTGTCCTTTCCTGCTCCTCTCTAACATGCTAGAGAAGAAAGCAGAGGGGTCCAACTAAGAAGTAAGCCTTGGGAATTGAAAAAAGATCCAGACTGATTTAAAATGCATCTTTAGATGTACGTGTCTGATGAGGCTTTGAGCAACCTGGTCTAGTGGAAGGTGTCCCTGCCCATGGCAGGGGGGTTGGAACTCGACGATCTTTAAGGTCCTTTCCAACCCAAACCATTCTATGAGTCTATGATCCTTGGAGATATTCTAAAGACATCTGGACGTGGCCCTGGGAAACCAGCTCTAGATGGCCTTGCCCGAGCAGTATGGTCAGACCAGATGATCTCCAGAATGCCCTCCAACCTCAACTACTCTGTGATTCTGTTACAAAGAGTACTTAATCACACGCAAAGGCATCCCGTACACTGTAAAATCAGGTTAATAGTAAGACTTAAAATGATGCTCTAAGCAATTACTTTCCTCCAAACTACATTTAGCCTTAAAAAGTCAACAATGTGAGACAGCCATATAGCACTCTTCATCTTAAATAAAAATAATTTAAAAAACCCAAGTAGGAGTCTGAGTTGAATCAAGCAAATAGGATCCCAACTTCACAAAAAGGGAAAAGCACTTTATCACATATCAATCAAACCACAAGAAACATTCAAGTAAGAGTCACAACCTGCAAAGCAGCACCTCAAAAACCATATTCTACAAAACACACCAACAGCTGAAAATAAAGATTGTTAAGCTAAAATGGCTCTTGGACACAACTGCATTTATTTTTTGTGTATGCTTTGTTTTAATCATAAGAATACAGGCAACTTGCATCCCATCTGAACAGCTCTAAGTATCTTGGGTCACCACATGGTCATATGGAGGGGACAGTTCAACAATGGCTAGTTATAGAATTATAGAGTGGTTTGGGTTGGAAGGGACCCCAGAGATCATCCAGTGCCCCCCCCTGCCATGGGCAGGGACCCCTCCCACTAGCCCAGGTTGCCCAAAGCCTCATCCAGCCTGGCCTTGAACCCCTCCAGGGATGGGGCATCCACAGCTTCTCTGGGCAACCTGGGCCACTGCCTCACCCCCCTCACAGGAAAACATTTCTTCCTCACATCTCATCTCCATCTCCCCTCTTTCAGCTTATACCCGTTACCCCTTGTCCTGTCACTACACTCCCTGACAGAGAGTCCCCTCCCCTCTCTCCTGTAGCCCCCTTTAGGTACTGGAAGGCTGCTATAAGGTCTCCTTGGAGCCTTCTTCAGGCTGAACAACCCCAACTCTCTCAGCCTGTCCTCATAGGGGAGGTGCTCCAGCCTCTGACCATCTTCGTGGCTCTCCTCTGAACTCGCTACAACAGGTCCAGGTCTTTTTTATGTTGAATGCAGTACTCCGGGTGGGATCTCACGAGAGCAGAGCAGAGGGGGAGAATCATCTCCCTCAACCTGCTGGTCATGTTTGTTTTGATGCCCCCAGGACACGGGTGGTTTCTGGGCTGCAAGCGCACACTGCCGGCTCATGTTCAGCTCCTCATCAACCAACACCCCCAAGTCCTCTTCCTCAGGCTCCTCTCAAACCATTTTCCGACAGCCTGTATTTGTGCTTGGGATTGCCTCAACAAGTTACCCAAACTTCAAGACAAAACCCTGAGGTGGGGGAAAGCAGGGGGGAAGGGGAGTGGCATGGAGAGGGAATTCCATTTTCCCCATATCTAATATGCAGAAGTCCAGGAAGGCCTAAGAGGGTACAGAACCACTGCATTTTAGATGAGGAGAAAGAGGTTGTCCCAGGGATAAATGCCACAGTAGTATTATATATTCAGACTGTAACAGAGGATATAGTCAACAAAACATGTTAAAAACATCTAATGTCCTACCTTTCAACACAAAATCTGAATGAAAGCAAAGCTGGATCCTGGCTTATAACAGAGGCTTACAGGCATGATAAAAAATACAAAAGCTAGAGACTAGTACAGCAAGTAGACTGCAAGTCGTCCGATGCAGGACTCAACTCACAAAAACTTAGTCCAATAAAGTTTATATAAACAGCTTTTAAATGCACCGAGTATGAAGCCAGAGCCTTCCAATAAAGCTCACAAATCAATGTCTGTGCTGGAAACAATTTACACGCCAGCTCACCTCAGCCTTCATCACCTTCTTAGGAGTTTTGAGACTCTGGGTACGTTTGGGAAGTTTGTCTCCTGCATCTTCATCTGATGGGTCTGTCCTAGTCTCTGACGGGGTTCCATTAGACCTCTGTGCCATACTGCTCTCCTCTCCTGAGGAGTAACAGGAAGCTAAGGAATCAGAGAGAAAGTTTTAGCAAATACTTTTGAAAAATCACATGAAGTCTAAAATAGCCCCTCCTGAAGGACCACATGAAAGGGAGATGTCAACAATCCTTAAGAAGGATAATCCAAAAAGTACAGAGGTATGTCAGTAGATGGGAAAGACTGGGGAAGACAATGTAACTTCTCCCAGATAATTTGGAATCTTGTAGTCTTCTGAGACCCAACACATGGGAAGTCCAAGGAACTCCTCCTTCCCTCCTGGTTCACCGTACGAGGCCTCGTACGATGGCCCCGCAGGGCTGTTCTGTACCTGAATCCTCAATGGTTTCAAGAAGGCTCCCACCAGAGGGGTGCAGCGGTGGTTCACGGCTTCGCATATGCATGGTATCTTCATCCCGGATCAGAGTGAGATCCTGCATGCTGAAACTTCGCAGCTTCTCAGACAAAACTCCCTGGCCCTAAGAGGACATACAAATTAGGGTCAAGGGCACTTCGCCTTCACCGAGATCATCTCACATAGGATCATGCAGAAGGGGAGAAGTGCCCTATTCCCCACTAGAGTACTCTGAAAAAAAACAGAAAAGGGAAAAAGAAAAGTATGCTCCCAAGACCAATAGGGAAGAGGTTAAAGCAAAATCCATTCCACTCTCCCTCCACTTTTCATAAACCAAAGGATGGGATTAACTGCAAGGCAAACTGGAGGAAAGGAAAAGTTGGTTGGTGTCAACAAGCACCAGCATCCCTTACAGACCCAGAGCACTAATTGCTGGCACCCAAAACTAAACTGCTGGGGAATTCCTGAATGTTACAGAAGGTTTTGCATTACCTTTGCAGCTGCAGTAACTGCTGCATTGGCAGCAAGGTTTAACCCTCTCTTGCCAACTCGCATCATGGTTTCATAGCTCTTGTCACGAGCCTGAGTAATGTATTCATCAATTTCCTGGGAAGGCAATGTGGAACATGGCATTTAGCTCCTTGTTACAAACATCATCAAAGTCTCCCCACCATCACCCTTAAAAACCCAAAGCTCATCCGGACGCTTTTTTCCAGGCTACCAGCATCAGCCGTCATTGATCACATAAGTGCAGTTTCTCTGCTACTTACAGAAAGCTTCCAAATGAACTTTTACTTGAAGTATGCTATCTCCAGATTGTAACAACTGAAAAAAAAGCAGTTGCTGATACTGACAATGTGAAAAAACAGCACGGCTACAGAACATGCTGCACCTTTTGTGACTCAAAGAGCTTAACTACTGACAGTGACTGTAAGGGCTCATCACGCTGGGTCAGCCAAACGTGCTTTCTAAGCATTAGGCAAACTACTGGCTACATGACAACCTTCAGTTAAGCTGCAGTATGACATCATTGTCAGAGAGAGAATTATTCTACATCCACTACTGTCAGCACAAGCACAATCCAAGCATTTCAGTTTTTATTGAGGCATAATGGAACCAGAAGCCAGACAGCTCCCAGACAGGTCAGTATCTTCTAACAAGTGAGTACCTTCTCCTTATTGGAGAGCGTTGGGTGCACAAACTTCCTGTAGAGGACACTGGAGCCCTTGGTGTAAGGGGAGAGCAGCCAAATCACAAATGCGATTTTCAGCTCAAAATAAAAGGGAAACCTGAGAGAAAGAGGGGAAAAAAAAAAAAAGAAAAAGAGAGAGAAAGATGGAGAACTGGAATCAAGATCAGCACAGAGACAGATGGAGACAACTGGTAGTAAGCAGCATAGGCAGAAAGAGCAAAGGCAAGATAAAGGCTCAGAAACAAAAGAATCAACATATCAGGTCAGAATAGCAAAACCCTCTTTGGAATCCTAGGACATACCTTCTTCGATTCTCATTAAGTCTTTCATCCATAGCCATGAAAACTCCATAAACAGGGCATCTCTCAGCCCTGCAAACACACCAAATTACAATCTGATAGCTACTCTCGTAATTCTGAAGTTTGCTCAGAGAGTACCCACTGAATGTTAATATTACATTAGTTTCTCTCTCATTTTCCAAAGCTTTCAACTACGTATCTCAATAAATCTCAAGTTCCTGCTAAGGCTGATGGCTCAGTTTCTAAAACTTCCAGTAGGTACTCCTCAGACAAGACACAAAAGGATCAGTGTAACTGAAAAAAGAGCAGGCAGCATGTAAGTCTTTAATCTCTAACCCATACTGAATACAGTCTCTGGGAAGATACAGTAGCAGAGACTGAAAAAAGTGAATGCAAACTTTATAATGTCTCTATTAGTAGTAAGAGACTTCTGTTTTCAGTGGTCCATTTTATGTACGTGAACAAAAGCTCTTGTACTTTTTATATCTTTGCCTGCTTTTCAAAAAAAAAAAAAAAAAAGCGCACAGTACTTTCATAAGGCATGTACAGCCATTTCATGTTTCTTTAAAAGATTCAATTCTTGACTAGTCTTCTTTCAGAGATGTATGCAAAGCCCAGACACTAAAGCAACAAAGCCAATGAAGATATCCTGTTCCAAAGGTTTGGCTGAAGACACGTAATGATGATTTGTCATTTTCGGAGGCCTCTGTATTGCCAAGCCTGACACACCACACTGAAAGGATTAAAAACCTGCTTCTCCCGACTCCACTGCACCCCACCTCCACTAGTAGAAGATAATTTCATAATGCAAAACACCTCTCAAAGCATAGACATGCATCTGATCTGCTCTTCCACACAACAGGCTCACAAACCACAGCAGGTCCCTTCCTCCTACCATCATTTTTTTAAATGTCTTTTAGACCACCCTTGCTCAAACTTTACCAGTTCACATTAACAGCTTCTCAGAAATATTTTGTTATGAATGGATGAAGATCCTCTTCCAGATACAGTGTATTTATCCTAACTGTTTGGAAGTATAGGAGATGAAACAGCTAAGACAGCAGCTAATACCCACAATATCTACAACCCTGCAGACTCTTCATAGGCATTGAAAACTCCTAAAGGAGAGACAGTTTATTCTTAGCATCCTAACACTATTCCTCTCTTCTTAATAAAAAAACCCCCAAAAACCAACCAACAAAAAACCCCCCATGATGCTAAGGAACTCACCAAGAAAGAACAATGTCTGTGAGTGTTTCTGCAGTAGTGAAAAAGGCAAACACAATCCAGTACATCATCCACTTCACCTGCAAAAGAGCAGTCGCTCAGTAGCCATCCATCAGAACCCAGAAAAAAAGCAAAATGTCTTCCTGTAAAAAGTACTCATCATCTCCACACATTAAGATGAATTCAACAACAAGGCAGCATATATAATCAGTAATGGAAAAGGTCACAGACCATTACAGTTTGCGAAAACACGCTCTAAATGGATAAATGCATACAGATGCACTGATGAATGCATGCCCTGCAGCAATATCGTGATGCAACAGTGTTAAAGTCCCAAATAAGCTATCTAAAAAGAGTAAGGAGTTCACTTTAAGAAGTTATAGTCGTTCATATATATCATGACTACTGTAATAAATATATATATATATCTACATATGCAATAGTTCAGTTTCAACTGTAGCACTATATTTTCTTGATTTAAAGTTCCTTGGGAAGAAAAAAAACCCAAACCAACAGATATAGCATTTTACTTTGATTCATTAATAAGCATTCTTTGCCTTAATCACTGCTGCCATGGTGGGGGAGAAGAGTAAGTTTGCACTGTACTCCGATGCCACTGACAGACTGCTTGCGGGAGCCTGGTGTGTGTCACCTCCGTCTCACCACACTCTCTAGGACAGATACACCTGTAAGATCTTTCTCCCCCACCAATGCTAGTTCTTAAGCACTAGGAGCAACAGCAGTAGATAGACAGAGCTGGCTTTGAAAATGTGCAGCACAGCATTCAAGTGTTCCACCTACATTTCACATGAAGAACAGTTTGAACAGATATTGGTCCCCTTTCCTGCGTTTAACAACTTTTTTTTCCCCCATCTTTCCACTTACGCTGAGAAAGAAGCAGCCCTCCAGAGATAAGTGAATTAGGTAGTTGGCAGTCCAACGTCTAAATGCTTTTCTGATATAGTCTTCTCAAAAATAATTCATAGATAAGATCAGTTTTAGCAGTTCCAATACATTTTCTTGAACTGAGTCCAGTATTTTCACTGAAAATAAAAGCTAGATAAAATTTTCTGCTGTACGTCCACAGCTAACCTACCCACAGAAAACAGCCGGTTTTCAGTGTAAAGAATGCGTACAGATTCAAAGAATCCATATTTACTGGGTCTTTGAGCTGCAAAACAAGCACTCTATAGGATGTTTTAAAAAATGAGTGGGTTTTTTTTTTTTTCCCCTCAAGTTCTCAAGAAAACAATTTAAAACCCTGAAATCTGAGTCTGTCTTAACACAGATTCTGTAACTGGAGCACAATCATTCCATGACAGACACTCATAAGCCAGGATAAAATTCTGGGTAAAAATATGCATTTCACGCAACAAACGAAGGTCATAGGCAACTGGAAGGAAGAAGAGGAAGGCCAGAGAAGACAATCATAATACGGTACTACTTTTTACGTAACTTCAAAGACAACTAGGAAGTTACATGATCACCTGATTATTCAGAGAGCTTATTTCATGCTTTCTTTCCAGTTTCTAATGTTATTACTAATAAACTTCAAAGTTTATTAAGGCTCATCGTATTTCTGACTGTATCTCTAGTACTCACTCAAAACACTATCAGTTATCAATGCCTCCTGAACATTCACATTTTGGCTTTTCTGCTGAGATCAGTATTACAAAAACCAAACTCAAACCAAATCACCTCAGCTAGATGTTGTGGTCAACATGATGATGCTGTCAACTATGAGACTCTCACCTCAGCTGGTATCTCCTTCAAAAACCAGTGTGATGAATTTTAAGCCAACACATAGGAAAAGTCTAGGCAATTCTAGAGGACCAGAACAGCGTGAGACAAAAGAGGACTATATCCTGCAATATCTATTGCTGACATTTCATTCTGTAAGGAGCAAACAGAGCCAGCCAGATGAAGAGTCTCACACTGCACCACAAAGCAACAGTGACACCTCTGTTCTCCATCAGGTTACTCCTCGCTTTAGACAAACAGAAATTCATCCCACCCATAAGCTGAATAGCTCTTCACCTCCACTGATCAGCTTAGAACAGTCCTGAAAGAAGATGACACATCACATTGCTAAAAAGCATTGGGTGTTTTAAACACAGTAACAACAGTGTGGACAGGGAAGGGGAAACAATTCCTGAAAGGAAGGAGGATGAAGTCTTGACCAACAGAAGCCACTGATGCCAAGTGAAGTAGATAGGTTGACACAAACCAAGCAAAATTACTCAGCTTTTTATAAGAAAACAAAAGTACTACTGAAAAAGCAGTGAAAGAACACAGCATAAGGATAAAGTTAGAGGAAAGAACTTGTCCTGGACTTTCAGATGCTTCCAGACTGCAGTGTTTCCCCTGCTTTCCCTTCCTCGCTCAGCGTCTCCTGAGAAAAATCAGCCCCCGGCTGCGGTTTGGAACCTGCCATCTCAGCAGCCTCCAGAGACCCGGGGCTGCGCCGGGG